AACAGATGCTTGGCTTGGATTTCCTCTCAGATATGTTTTTAATGCTGATGGTGCTTCAGTGCAACTGTTCATGGACGGGAAACAGTGAAAAGAATGAAGACCTGCTGTCATGTAAAAGAAGGGGCTGGTCACAAGGAGACCACCACAGATGCGTGGCTTCAAGTTTACTTACCACATCACACATTAGGGAAGTGATGATTACTGGTGTTATGTTTTTAAAGTAATGAGCAAATAAATGTTCGAATTTGCATCAAAGAAAACCCTGAACTGCTCATCTTCAGCACTGAATTGCCTTCTTAGTTACAGAAAGTCCTTCCCAGAATCTAGTAGTCACTTCAACACTGGACTATGCCTCTGAAATCAAAATCACTGTGCAGTGTCTAACTTTTATGCCTATAAAACCTACTACCTGCACACCATTTCAAGAAAAGTAATACAAATTATACTTTTCCCAGGTAAATTTCACTTCATCTGAACATTTGTAATCACCTTAAAATTCACAAATCACAGGAAAAAATTGCATCTTATCACTTCCCATATATTGAGAAGAATGTTAGGGAGGGCAACAGCAGTAGGTATGTAGCCACTCAGAGGCAGTTTTGTTCAACACACAATGCTAATGTCAGAGAAAAAAAGAAAACTTGTTGGCCATGAATGCCACTTCAAATTAAAGACAGACAAGCAGGTTTTGACTCAACTTATAACCTGTTTCTCTTTTCAATGTCCTAGCCATCAAACTGTGATCAAATGTTACTGGACAACTAACTGCCTATTCCTTGAAGGATCTATTCAGAGGCAGATAAAGTACCTAAATCTGTTCATCAGTTAAGGCATTTGAAACACCATGAGTTCAGTGTCTATGCAGGATTTCAATATCTCATATTTGAATGTGTCCATGTTCCATTCCATTCGTGTCAAGGCTACAATTGTTAATTTCCACTCAACAACTGCTGGTAACAGCAGGTGTGTGTGTGTGTGTGTGTGTGTGTGTCCAAAAGCAAGCATGCAGGCGCACATGCTAGGTTACCCTGCCTCTGCTAATCCTGATTCTCTTATGTTCTAAGGAATATGCAGGCCATTCCTATAAACCACAGCACACCACACCTACCTGCAAGAACCCAATGACATCATGGCCTCAAGACTTCTTAATCGCTATACTGACAATACTACCAAACGAGCAGAAATGGAAAATACCTCTTTGGTACTGTCAAGATGAAAAATAACTCATGCTGACAAGCAGGCAGATCTTTCTCAGTGGTTTATAAATAAAGTTATACCAAGTTATCATACATTACAAGAAACTTCCCTGTGAAGACCATTCTCAGGTTATGAAAACAGGTTATTTCACAGGAAAATCCACAAGGGCAAAAAGTTGTTTGGTAGTTGACCAGGACCAGACAAGATGTGGACATTAGATTGCAGGGATGACTATAAAGGGCTATAAAGTTACTTTTTCCACTGGAAATATTCTAAAACTATTATAATGGCTGTAAAATTCTATGGGTGAATAAACTAAAAGTTACTAAAATGTATACTATATATGCTATGCGAGTTACCTCTCAAACTGCCAGACAAAACCAGGTTGCTTGGAAATATTGCTAAAACATTCTACAATAAAACTACATTCTATACCGATTACTAAAATTATAAAGTTACAAAGGCAAAGTAGACAATATAATTATTTTTTCTTTCCTAAGAATACACAGTCTTAATGTATACAATAATAACTAAGATAGTAATAGGATTTAATGCCTTTATCAAATACTTTTGTGGAGAAATAAGTGTATACATTTTAATTTTACTACTTCTGAATGCATCAGTTATAGTACACATACTGAACAGAAAAATTATTAGTTATATGTTCATGAACTTCACTTTAGCAAATAATTTACAGAAAGACTAAGTCATGAAAAATAAACATGTAAGATTTTGTAATGATAATCTGCAATAAAAGAAATTTTTATAGTCTTTGTCACTGTATAAAAAAATTTTAAAAATTTTATTTTAAGATTTGTAAACACATTTAAAGAAAATACTCCCACCCCCACCCCCAAGACTAGGATATCAGCGAGTCTCACTTAAAGCAACTGCTCTACCACTGAGCTATACACACCTGCAGTCCCAGAAAAATACTTCTGACCCCATTGTTTTCCTTTGTAGGGCCCTCTGACACTCAGATTTATTGGACCTTTTTTTTTTTTTTTTGTATTTTAGGGAAGGGTCTGCAGGGTGTTCAGGGTCTCGCTACTAGATTGGACTTGCAGTGATCCGCCTGTTTACAGCCTCCCAAGAGCTGGGATTACAGGTGCACGCTACCACGCCCAGTCTCAGTTGCCCTCTTGGCGCGCCTAATGTCTACACCCATCCTGTAAGATGCACGGGTCTATTTCTCCACTTTAGAAATAAGAGAGTAGAGAGCCTGATGTAGTACAGACTACTCTATCAGCAGGAGAGAGCCAGGAAGCAAGGACCAAAGCCAGGTCTTCCAAGTGCTCTGTTCACTGCACTCACCCCAAAGCCTAAATGTCAGGCCTAAAGTACTGTACTTCTGAACTTCGTCAGTTTCAGCAAGTGTGCTTCAGGTGATGTTTAAAACAAACTTCTAAAGTATCAAAATTTATCTAAGACGGGATGTTTTACAAAATGCAGTTTCTAGCCATACCTGAGAATGGATAACATGTCTGGTTTGCTTTAGTTTTCATAGATGTCATTTTTTTCTCCTAATTTGTTTTTTAAATGTATTTGGTTGTTACAGGGTCTCACTACCCAGCTCTGAATCATAGTGATCCTCCTGTTTTCTGCCTCCCCAGCGCTGGGATTACAGGCATGTGCCACCCCGCCCGGACTCTGTGGGCCACTCAGCCCATCCCGGGGGCAGGTCTGGTGCGGCACATGGTGCCAGGGATTGAATCGCAGTCACTGCACTTGCCTAAGCTTGCCTAAGCAGATGCATTGGCCTGCTGAGCTATCCTGCTGGCCCTCTCCTAATTTTTTTTAAGGTTGTGATTTCCTCAAAAAGAATAAAATATTTTTAAATCCTTAACTGATACTCAGAACAAACTTTTCAAACCATTGGAACACAATTAGGATAAAAAGAATGCTCTTCCCTATATATTTTATAAAATATTATTTCAAAAGAAAATGCTACATTTAACCTAAAAAATATTTTCCTGTCAACATTTTTATTATCAACGTTCCTTGAAATTAATCTAGCTTTGTAGATGAGATCAGAAATTCATTTAACAGTCACTTTAGATCTTTATACTAGTACAAAAAGAAATTCCCTACAATTCTAGGAAAGGATCTGATGTGACCACTCATGCCTTTCTTTTAATGGACTTACACAGTCTGCTTCTATGAAAATAGGCCCAGTCATTCCATATCACAGCTTGCAACCACAACACTAATTATGATGCCTCCCTTGACCTGTAAATGCATGTTATACTCAACATTTACTATTGATTTGCTTGCTTTACTATACCAAATATTACTTTAAAATATTTATTCTCTGAACAGGTATCCCAGAACGCTTCTCCCAAGTCAACTGTGGCACACAGTTCCCTCAAACAGGTTAATAATATTAACATTCCAAAGCTGGGATGGGAAGTTTTCCCTTTCTCTGAAAGGGATCAGACTTCTGAACAAAAACTGCCAAACCAATTACTACCCAACACCTGAACTAGCAAAAGAGGCATGTTCTTGGTCACAGATTTGCCCTCGAGACTCTTTGTTCTCCACTGCCTGGCACTACCCCCAACCATGCTCAGACTGTCAACCAAACTGTCCTTTTTCATGCGCTCATTCTCCCTCATTGTACCTCTGAAACTACCAATATTCCCTTCGGGCTCCACTCTGCTACATGCTCTTTGTACAAGAACCTCACTGACATTTTCATCCTTAATGGCTTTGGCACATTGCAAAAAGGAAATATTTCACCAAGATCTTAAGAAGAAATGGATAGATAGGGTTAGGGAGATAGCCCAGAGGCATTAGCACCTACCTGGCAAGCACAAGGAGCTGAGTTGATCCCAGGCCCCACATGCTGAGCCCACTCTGGATCCCCAGGTGTGCCATGCCAGCCCCAGAACTAAGCATGGTGGCATGCACCTGTAATCCCAGCACTTGGGAGGTTGAGACAGGAGGATGGCTATGAGTTCGAGATCAGCCTGAGGGCTACAAAGGAGGGGAAAGGAGAAGAGGGGAGGGGAGAGAAATTGATAGACTAAACTATGCTTTCTTTTTGCTTCTACTCAGTAAAATCCATGATGTATTAAGAAATATCTAGTTTGGTATATATTAGTATCACAGAAGGGGAGGAGGAGTGAAAGAGAGAGAAGGAAAAATTATATATACCAAATTATATGTAGCAGAAGAGGGACAGCTATATGATTTTCAAGAGCCTTCAAGAACTTGTTATTTCAAGATGATACTTATCAGACTTTAGCCAGAGCCAGGCTGCAGATCTGGTGAGGATCTTACTCCACTCCCTGTCCCCTCCTACGATCCTGACCTTTCACCTTCTTGCTCAATCACTGGCCTTCCCAGCAGGAGCACAGCCCTTCCTCCAGGGGTATGTGATGGCTAGCTGTATAATCTGATGCCACCATGGCTATGGCTCTTGCTCAGTTACTATCTATTTCTATAGTTCTCCTCTGCAAGCAGAGCAGATTTCCTATACCAAGGGATGATTCTGACATACAGAAAACAATATTTAAAACTCTGTTTAAATTTTTCACCTTTTAAAAATTCCAGTATTGGGGCTGGGGAGATAGTTCAGTTGAATAAGCGCTTGCCTGGCAAGTGCAAGGGCCTGAGTTCAATCCTGGTTCCACCAAATAAATAAATAAATAAATAAATAAATAAATAAATAAATAAATATTCCTGGTTCCACCAAATAAATAAATAAATAAATATTCCAGTATTAAAAAAATCCAGTATTACAAATTTTTTGCAGCATATACCACTTATCAGACATCACACTTTTTTAAGATACAACATACATACTCAAATCTGTCTGGATTTATGGTGCAATTTTTCAAAAGTTTAGTGTCCACGGCTGGAAGGATGCACTCTCTTTAGTGCATCTTTCAATCTTCTTTATATGCATGTAACACAGAACCTGAGGACAAAAGTATGACAATATTCATTTAGTAAATATTTCTTCTACATCCCTATGTGCCACCTGCCATGCTAGCAATGAGAAGTTCGTGCTCTCCTGGAGCTCATGGAGTTCAAAGAGTCCAGAACAGCATGTGAAGGATCACTTGGACAACTTTCCCTGAAAGAAGAGCAAGTTTCTCCATTTTATTAACTTTACCCTATTTCCATGTACTGATACGTACAGAGCCGGTAAGGACTCTTCCTTATCTCTTCAACTGGCTTTAAGCAACGCAAATCAGTCTAGCAATATAGTCTTTGAAGCAAGGAGGATAGGGCAAATAACACACCGCTCCATAGCTCCCAAATAAAATATGGAAGCTGAGGCAGATGCAAGATTGAGAGCTGTGGGCCAAGGCAATAGCGCAGCAGCATAAGTGTCTGTCTGGCAAACTCAAGGTCCTGAGTTTGATTCCTGGTACTTCAAAACAAAACAAAAAAGGGAGGAGG